AAAAAGCTTCACAGGACGTCTGTTTGCTACTGCAATCTCGCCTACAGGTAGCCACAACCACGTGTTAGCAGGGAAAATGGCCACGGATCCTGTTCGTCACCCAATGCGGAGTTCGCGAACGGAAGCAAAATTTTGCGAATGGAGCTGTTTGTGAACCGAATTGTTCGTGAACAGAAGCGTTCATGACCCAAGGTACCACTGTAATTGTTGGCTTGGAGAAACTGGTAAATTGTTCTCCTACTTAATTTTATATAATCCAACTACATTTTCCTTCTTATTTTTTCCAGCTTTGGCATTCCAGTCTCCAACCACAACCAGCATATTTTACTTGGACATCCTGTCGATTTCAGATTGAATGTAACCATAAAACTCATCAGTTTTCTCTTCTGCATCAGTGGTTGGAACTAAACTTGGATAATCATCAAATTAAAGGGCTGTCTGTGAAGTCTAATTGATATTATTCTGTATTTGACTGTATTGTATCCAAACATTGTCTTTCTGGTTTTTTTTTTTGTCCTGAATAGTAAACATTATGATATTCTGAATGAAAGTATCCAATTCCACTCCATTTCAATTTGCTGATGCCTAAGATGTCAATGTGTAGTCAATGCATTTCATCTTTCACTGTGGTGAGCTTTCTCATGTTCATGCTTCTTACATTCCATATTATCAGTATAGTTCTATCTTTGCATCTTTAGACTTCCTTTTCCTGCATGACAACATCAGCAACTAGATGTCCCAAATATTTTAATTTAGCCATGTCCTAAAAACATTAGTACTCCCCCCCCCCAAAAAAAATTGTCAGTTGTTCCTCAGTAGCATGCTAAGTCCCATCCAAATTGAGGAGCCAATCTATACTGTCACTGAGTTTACATTGCCTATCAATGTGGTTTTCCTGGTAAAATACAAGAGTAGTTTATCGTTGCCTTCTCCCATGCAGACTAAAATGATGCCTTTGCAATTGTCATTAATGTGATCATCCGCTTCTAACATCGTTCTATATTGCTGTTGCCTGATATTGGCTTGCTTTAGCTGGGCAACTGGGATGACCTTCACAGGCTGGGTGACACTGCTGGAAGTACATATTCTTTGTGTACACTCCCAGGATTCTTCACTTATCCCTTCTAGGAAACACTTCCCTTCACCTCCCCACTATGATGAAGCAGCACAACAGGGCTTGAGGGGGTGATAAAAGTTAGCTTCAAACAAATTACAAGAGATTATGAAGTGGAAACATTGTGGGTTGGGGGGTCATAAGACTAAATTTGTAATCCTAGCAGAATGAAGTAAGAGAGAAACAAACACCTTTGCCTTTAGCAACCCATTTGGAGAGATGGGTGCAAATTTAATAAACAAACAAACTACTCTTGCTAGTATATCATGTGCTTGATAGAAGCAAATTTTGTGTAGACTGCAGATTTCAAAGAATATCAGAACTTATTAAAGGCCAGGATGAAACCCAACTCATTTCATTGGATGTTACTCTGAGAGAGGGGAGCAATGTTGCAGTCAGATCTTACCTGCATTTTTTCAATGAGAGGAGAGCTTTTGGGCTTTATCCTTATAGGACGAGAAGCATTTGGGGATGGTTTCTGTAGAAAGAGAAGTAAGAAACAGAGTTGGTTGAAAGAGCCAATTTCTTGTTGCTTTTTAAAAATCTTTGATGTTTAGTTGATTTACTTTTAATTATTAACATTTCTTTATTATTTAAGTATGAAAAGTATTTAGGAAAAAACCTTGTTATCAACATGGAGTATCCCTGAGGAACCCTGCTTTGAAGGACTATATTCCACAAAAGAAGAATGTATATGTGTGTAATATGAGCGGTTGGATAGCATAGTGGTTAGAGTGCTACCCTTTGACACGGGAGACTGGGGTTCAAAGCCCGGCTGGTACCTACCTTACCAGAAAGGGTCCTTGGCCAAAGATGCTGTAACACTTCACCTGCCTACCTCAGATGTGAGAGTGACATGAACTAAGAGAGTCATGCTGGCTCTGACATCTCCCGGATTAACAAGATCCGTGCAAGATATTGGGGAACCAAGACAATCTAATGACAAGTGGGGCTATTGGACCAAACCATACATGGACAAGACAAGAGAACCTAGAATTGATGGAATGCTACTACAGCAGTAGACCTAATGAAAGGGGATATATGAAATGTATAAAGGAACTATGGATGGACATAAGACCTACATCTACACTAACTGAGAAACAGTCAGTTACCTGACGCTTCAACATAGTAAAGAATAAGATGCTCTCACAACTTGAGACAGACCAACTATGCATTACATCCCGGACTCAAGAAGATCTGGAAGAACAACTGGATGTGGATCCAACACCTAAAGCTGGAACGTCACTGCCACCCCCTCCATTACAGAGCACAGCAGCTGATATGAGGCCTAAGATCATGGATATTATAAGATCATGGATATAATTACAGTCAACCCTCAAGACTGATTATCAAAGCTCAGTGGAGAAGTACCATCAGACAGTATGCTAGAAGATGCCAATAGAGCCCTCACAGCAATCCCTGCTACCACCATAATTCAAACCAATGAACTGGTATATTCTACAGCCGCAGTAATCCTGGAGATGCATGGCTACATGATCAAGAAGAATAGCAGTACATACCCCCTGGAAAATGAGGTTGGAGGCTAAGATCAAGGCAACTCGGAGAGAAATTAGCTGGTGGAGCTACAGAAGGGTGTGGAGATTAAAGATAAGACTTGGCTACTGAAAAAATACATAGGCCTGACTCCAGCTGAAGCCCTAGAGACTGCTGAGCAAAGGCTCACAGCACTGGCTACCAAGCTAAGGAGATATACTAGAGGCTAAGAAAATAGCCTCTACTAAGAAGTAGAGGCTAAGAAAATACATGCCCTGTTCTCCAAAGAATTATCCAAGATGTACTCCCAACTGTAGTGCAACAATACAGTAGCAGCAGAGCCACCAACAGCAGAAACTGAATAGTACAGGTAGTCCTTGACTTACAACCATTTGTTCAGCAACCGTGTGAAGTTACGAATGTGGTGAAAAAAGTGACTTACGACTGGTGCCCAAAGTTATGGCCACCGCAACGCCCCCACAGTTACATGATCAAAATACTGGCACTTGGCAGCCTGCCTGCACTTACGACCACAGGGGCGCTTCAATTCCCTCCACCCCCATCTCCCCCTCATCTATGCCCTTCTGGCCCCTGGACCCTGCACTGTGTGGCTCTGGGGCTGCAAGAAGCCCCTGAACCACAGCTCAGTGCAAAGCCACACCCAACCCTGGAAGCCTCAGCTGCCCCAGCCTGCCCTAGCAAGAACTAGTAAGCTGCAGTGGCCGGGAAGCGCCAGCAAGTGTCAGCAAGCATTCATTCACCCAGCTGCCTTCTCTCCCAGTTCCCTGCTCCTGCCTTTTGCACCCAGCCACAGTGGCCAGGAAGCACCAGCAAGTGTCAGCAAGTATTTGTTCACCCAGCTGCCTTTGCTGTCTCCTTTTGGACCCTTCTCCTGAAAACGTTTCCTCCGTGTGGCTTCCTGAACCTTTGGAGAGCTGCACTCTCTTCACAGAGCCTTTGGAAAGAGAGGCTGTGCAGCCTTCAGAGAGCTGCACTGTCTTCACAGAGCTTTCAGAAAGAAAGGGCAGCTGTCTGAAGGCTGCACACCTCTCTGAAGACTTGCGCGGTTCTGGGGCTGCTTGCCATCCTGCAAAGCAGGGTACAGGGAGGCCAAAAGGGCAGAGATGGGGGAGATAGGTGGGGAGAGTTGGAGGCAATCCCTTACCTTACTGAGGCTAGGGGCTGGGAGTGACCAAGCCTGGAATGGCTTGGATTGGGGTGGGTCCTTGGCTAACAACCAGTAAAATTCGCTTAACAACAACAAAAAGAATTACTGGGATTGTGGTCGCTAAGTGATGTGGTCACACAACATCTCGCTTTATGACCACATTGCTTAGTGACTGAAATTCCAGTCCCAATTGTGGTTGTAAGTTGAGGACTACCTGTACTGGAAGAATATATGGGAGAAAAAGAAGACACATAACACCAGTGCAAAGTGGCTGCAGGACCTGAGAGTAGATCACAGCAATCTGCCAGAACAGGAACCAGTTACCATCATAGTAGCAGATATCCAACAGCGAGTCAAGAACATGAAGAGCTAGATAGCACCTGGCCTGGACATGATTTACATCTACTGGCTAAAGAAACTAACAGCAGTGCATGAACACCTAACAACACAGGTGAACCAGCTGCTAGCAGCAGGTTCCCACCCATACTTGCTAACACAAGGAAGGACAGTGCTGATCCTGAAAGACCCCCACAAGGGAACAGCACTGTCGGACTACCAGCCAATAACCTGCCCCCTCACAACATGGAAAGTCCTATTAGGCATCATAGCTGCCAAGCTACAGGACCAGATGGGCCAGTACATGAGCACAGCTCAGAAGGTCATTGGGAACAACACCAGAGGCTCAAAACACCAGTTGCTCATAGATAGAGCAGTTGCCCAAGACTCAAGATCTAGACAGACCAATCTGAGCACAGCCTTGATTGACTACAGGAAAGCCTACAACTCAATACCACACTCATGGATCTGTGAATG